TCCCAATTCCCAAATTCAAAACTTTTAATTTGTTCACAAATTTAGATGGTCCTAATATAAAGTATAAGAAATTTTAAAAAGTATAACTTATGGCTTGATACAGAAAAAAATCAGAATATTTATCTGAACAATGACTATGACTATCAGTACAATATTAAAATATTAATGTCTTATAATCAGATATTTAGAACTTATTAAAATGTAATGACTATAATATCAGACAGGCATTTAAAAATTCAACTTTTCACTTGAAAGGCTTTATAATGATATAGGATTTTTGACTATGTCTAAAATTTCAAAAAAAAATTTAATTTTCCCAACAGGTAAGAAAAGTACAGTAAAATGTTGATTAATATAAAATACTGAATTATCTGTTATATACTTTCTATTATCTTTCACAAAGGTATTATGAATTTCAAATGGAAAATTCAGTTATTATTTTAAAAACAGTGACCATTATTAAAACAGTATTTTCAAAATACCCTTGACAAAAACCGGTATTTGAAAAAATCTGTATTTATAATTTTTGTTCTTTTAAAAGTATAGTTTATATTCCTTATTTTCTAGCTGTAGGCAGAATGGTGAATTTACTTATTTTATAAGCTTCAATTTTAACACTCACATGAAATATTACTTGAATCTTAGTAATACTTAATCTAACCTTTCACCATTTCTAGTCAAAAATGGAGCAGCCCACTAGAATTATTCATCTTCAACTCCTTCAAGGCACACTAGGTCCTCCACATTATGCTCAAAAAATATTTACTAGGCTGGGTATGGTGGCTCACGCCTGTAACCCTAGCATTTTGAGACGTCAAGGGGGGAGGATTGGTTGAGCCGAGGAGTTCGAGACCAGTCTGAGCTCGAGACCAGTCTGAGCAAGAGCGACACCCCATCTCTACTAAAAACAGGAAAATTAGCCGGTTGTGGTGGCACGCGCCTGTAGTCTCAGCTACTCGGGAGGCTGAGGCAGGAGGATCTCTTAAGCCCAGGAGTTCAAGGCTGCAGTGAGCTATGATTGTGCTACTGCACTCTACCCCAGGCAACAGAGCAAGACTCTATCTCAAAAAAAAAAAAAAAAAAATTTACTAAACTGAACTGGTGATTACTACTACAGTTTAACATCAGGGACTGAATTTGTACATAAACAAATTTTATGGTACTTTAACAACTCAAAAACGTACTGATTAGCTACACAGAGCCAAACAGCTATTATATAACTGTAGCCAAAAGTCAACATTCATGACAACAAACAGTGAGAACACAAGCCCTCCCTCAAATTGTTTTTCTTTATTTTCTTAATAGCAATGTTGGATACTTTATCTTCCGTCTGCCCATAAAGAAAACAAGCAATGAATGTACAAAAGAGTGAAGAGCAAAAAGTAAGGCACTTAGATAACTTATAAATTAAGAGACAGGAAAAAAAACATCATCAAGTTAAAGAGTAAGTTCTCGAAAGATCCACTCAGAGTTAATATCATTATGAAAACACTTTCCCCCTGGACATATCACTAACTGGGTATAGCTGGAAGTTAGTTAGCCAATGACACTGAGAAAAGTTCAAAAAACCAACCATGACTAGATTAGAAGACATTAGCAAAAGACAGAAAACATGGGTGTAAGCACCAAGTGCCCATATATAATAGCTGTGTGACCTAGGTAAACCTGGGCAAAGCACTTCATCTCTGTAATGTACAGTTTCTCCATTCATAAAACCAGGAGTAAAATCTTCCCTAATTGCCAGGTTTTTATAAGACCCAAATGAGATAAAATATGTGGAAGCATTTTGGAAACCATTAAAAATCATACAAAAAAATTAAAGGTAGTATCTTTATTTTAATGAGATAAAAGGTAGCTCATTTTACCTTTTTTTTTTAAATGCAGGATATATTTTTTATCCTTTTTAGCTTTTTTTTTTTTTTTACAGTTTGAAATTCTGTGGATACCATCAAAGTCTACTTATTACATAAATTTGCTTTTTCTGCCCTTTAGAAGTTTTTCTACCTCTTATCCATAGAAAGAACAGGAAAAATATCCCCATCTAAAACTTATTAAACAATAAATAATTTTTAAGGAAGGTAACTAATCCCTTCACTAATTTCAAAAAGTATACAATATATTATGGCTGACTTCTATTCCTGGTTACATCACTAATTTGTTATGGTCTAAGAGCAAATCACTTAAATCTCACGGTGCTACAGTTTTTATCTCTACTGAAAAGGTGGAATATTAGTGTGACCAACTTACCTGATATGGGAAAATTCACCTTTACAACTGAAAGGTGAAAGCAGTATTGAATTATGAGAGAAAAGTTTCCCTCCAAACACTCTACCAACACAATAATGCCCTTTGAAAATTTGAAAGTACTAAATGAAGCCACTAATATACGTATAACCCACAAATTGTTTTCTTTTGAAGCTATAAAGACAAATTAGAAATGACTAATTTCCTTATTCAACAGAGATATTACAAAAAGGAGCAAACCAGAAACACAATGATAGAAAAAGAGAGAACGAAAAATTCTTTACCAGCATATTTATGGATTTGTTTATTAAGAAATCTCCCCTATACAATCACAAAGGAATTCCATTCATCACTAAAAATTGTACACCAAATAATTAACAGTTTTTTTTTTTAAAAACTGAGGATTTTACAAACCTTATTTCTTACCTTATGCACCCTAAGGCATAGCTATAGAGACAGTTAAAGTTATTTCCTTCACTAAAAAAATTTCGTTTTATCTTCTGCTTACTCACTAGGTAGAAATAACTTTACTGTGATTATCAATCAAGCATACTATCACTTTCACGTAACGTTCCAACAAGCCATATTTCACAAATGATTGTTTTGTGAAATAATTTGTTTTCCTAAACAATTTTGATCACACAATTGTACTGTTTTATGTACTACAAAGGTTTCTACAGTTGATTTATTTTTTAAAAATCTAAACATGGGGAACTAGTGGAAATATTGTTTTTTCCCCCTTTCTTTGTTTAAAGGTACTCCTAATATACAGAAAGCAGTTTTTTTTAATGTGATTATATAAACTATAGTATCCGAGGAGCCCTTTATACGTCATACAGTGGTTAGAGAAGAGTAGAAACACTGCTTGGTAAGCTGTATGACATATAACAATTGTAATTCAAATGCTCAGCAAAATATGCTAAAATCTACATAAGAAACAAAATTTGGAGGGAAAAGAGCATAAACTCAAATAATTATTTAATATACTACAATGTGACCAAAGCAAGAAATGTCTGATCCTTTGGCTTTAATTTTAAAATCAGTGTACTTGAATCAAATTCTGTTGCACTAGAGGACTGCTAATGAAATACAATAATACATTGTAAGTATTTATTTATAATTTCTTCTCATGGTTTTCCAAATATTTTTTCTTCTCTATACCATATCTTCATACTTGTGAATTTGTGGTCAAAGTTTCACTGCTAAAATTAACAAAACTAAACCTGTTATCACAATATACAGGCATTGTAATATGCACAATTCATTTTCTTTTAAATTTAGAACCTTAATAAAGGTGTGGAATAAATACTTCTTAATTGGTGGAAATTTAAAATCAAAATAATGTATGAACCAATTTTTAAATGAATTTCCTTTGTGATATGCAGAGTACCTTTGTCAAAAAGTCCCCAAATCTTTAACAGCTATAAAATGAAGAGACTGGTAATTACCATATTGAAGTAAGATCGAATTTTGACTCCTCGTGCCAGATCCCACACTATCACGTTTCCATCATGACCGGCGGAAAAGAGAACTCTAGGATCAAATGGGTGTGGCTCAAGAACAAATACCTCATCTTCATGACCCTGAAATATTTTTAAAGTTAAAGGATTATAAACATTAACAAAAAAGAAAAACAAAACAGAATGAAAAACCAATATGGAACCATTTCTAGAAATGGAGTTTTAAAAATTATTAAATTGGCAAAAATCTTCAAATTTGTCAATGTACAGTAATAATGAAACTGACCTAGTATCACTACCCAGGGCTTTGCTATCATTTAGTGAGACATGAGAATACTACTAATGGATCTCTATATATCAAGAAACAGCAAGCATCTACAATGTATTTCCAAGGCAAACCTGTTTAACTGCCTTTTTACATTATTCCCAATCTCCCACAAAGCCCTGTTACCCTGGCAAATAAGAGTTTTTAGCCAATATAAAAAACTGTATTCCTCAATGAACATATTCCATTCATCTGCTTCAGTTATAACAAAATAAAAATTAGTCTTTTTTCTCACCATTAGGACATGAATGAGTTGACCAGTGTAAGAATTCCAAACTTTCAGAGTCATGTTATTAACTGCAGTTATAACTGTATTGTCATGTCGATCCCAAGCTACCATAGTTACTTTCATTTTTGTGATTTTATCTTCCATTCCTTGAAGGTTTTGACTGAAAGTGAAGAAGGCAGTATTTGTTTATACATTGATGTTATTAAAATACTGGTATAACGAAAACCGAAATATATTTTCTCATAATTTATATTTATTAACATAGATAACAATCGCTCAACAGTAATTGAAAACAGTGTGAATCAACACAGAATAATGGCAAAAATCACTGCACTGAGGATATCCAGAATTTCCAGGAATCTAGCACTCCTAAGCCATTAGTAACAGATGATTTGGGGTAAATATCACTGCTATAACCCCATCTAGATCCAGAAACTCTATGCCACAGTGCCCACTCTCCACCTTTACTGTTGCTGTCATCCCTTGCTGACTGCTCTGTTCTCCCATTCATCTGAGATTAACTATACACAAAAACAAGTAGCAAAAAATGACAAAATATTAAAACCAAAATTACAGTTACAACATGTGATATAATTTATGTTGGCTGGAGAAAACCACTGGATATATATCATCATCCATCTGTGATAGATTAAACATCATAGTATGTTCTGGTTTCTGAAAAAAACATTAAAAGTTACAACTATTTTTACAGAACTAGTATCATCCCCTTAACAAAACAGAACTAAAAAAAAATTAATGCAGCATGTCTTCTTATATATGGCAATGAATCATTTTATAAAAATCAACACCGCTCACAATAGCACCTCCGGTTAATGCAGGAAAGTAATAATTTTAACATGGTATATGATTCTATAGGCTAAGAGTCACTCCAACCTGCAACATAACATACTTTAAAATGATTTATAGCTGTATTTCAAATTTGATCTCTTACCCTGCTGGACGAGTAGCCATATCCAACAAAATGCTCTTCCATTCTCTTCGTTTAAATTGCCAAATACGTGCTGTCCCATCACGACTCCCACTTACAAACCTATATTAAAAGGAGTCCAATCCCCAAAGAAAAATCACATGCTTTACCAGAATGTACTTTTCCTAGAGTTTTGTTTTAAAAAGACAGCATTCATCTTTATTTACACAGCATTCTAACACAATAAAGATTAGCTTCTTAGACAGTCTCTATAAATTCAAGACCTTCTGAAACTTCATGGGTTTTAAAAATTTTATATACAAATGTGCTAATGTTCACGGCTAGGTCTCAAAAATAACATTAAAAAGTAATTCAAGGTCACTATTTACTACCCTAGAAATAGAATCGATATTTTCCAATGGAAAAATATTGATTTTCCTCTCAATATTAAATATCTTGACTTGTTCTATTCAAAGTACCTAGAAATAGCTTTATTTCCTTTATAATAAGAACATGGGAAAATTTACATAATATCATTTATCCTCAATAAACAGGTCTGTTTCAAATATTATGATATATTTCTAATCTCGAACAAGCTTCTCCACACTTTGATACATGCAGGGAATATACAGGGCATGTAAAAAGTCTTAAAATTACTAAAAGTGTTCAAATATACTGACACTATTACAAATAAGACATATAAACATGTCTTTACATGTATGTGAAGGCTATATTCACTTTTAAGTACACCTGGTCAAGATCTTTATCTTAGGTGATTATTCCCTATATAACTCTAAATAAAATCTGACTATAAGAATTGTATTTTATAATTTTAAAATCAGAATTAAACAAATAAAAATAAATATTTTACCTGTTACTAGTGTTGGAAAACTGGATACTGTCAACTTTGTCCTATATATAAATAAACGAAAAAGATGCTGAATATAAACTGTTAGACTCATTTAAATTATACTCATCTAATTCCTTTCACCAATACTTACAGTATGAAATTCCAATTCTGATATTTTCTCTGGCTGACCTGATCCAAAAAAATAAACTCTAATTATATGATCTGTGCTTCCAGTGGCCAAAAACATTCCACCTATGAAGAGTAACAGCAAACATTTATGAGTAAACACAACTTCAAAATCTCTGAGAATTAGATAATAAAATGCAAGCAAAATTATAATATATACTGAAGTAATATTTTACTCTAAAACCATTCATATTTATCCTAAATATATAATACATCTAACCGGAATTTAAGAAAGAAGTTTGCTATTATAGCTTTGACTAAGTTGAATTTTTTAATATTTACAGAAGTAAAGCCTTGCTCTAAAAATAGTTTCACTAAGTGATTACATAATCTTACTATGTTAAAATTATCAGTCATCTTTACTAGAAAACATGTCTCTCTCTAACGCTGCTGAAATCGTTCTCTTGTCCTATGTCTCATGTGTCAAAATCATATCAAAATCTTAACGGTCAACTCTCTCAGTTGTAAAGGCCCAACTTGCCTTTACAAACTTGGCCATCGAATGAGCCTGCTCTCCTCTGAACTCATCTAAGACTTTGTCTTGTAGTATATACATTCTACCTTGCATTACTGTTATTAGTATATGCAATTTACTCCCTTCGTGACAGTAACACTCCTCCACAGTGTTGAAAACAGTGTTTGTATATAATAAAATATTTAAGTACTTTTGCTAAATGATCTACCCACTGAACCCTTAAAAAAAAAAATCAAATTATCTTTGAAAGAGGAGCATAAATTCAAATTATTCTGAATGTATGTATAGTGCCTATATTTGTGTATATTATTACTAGAAGGAACACTGAATTCATGGCAGTAGCACTGGAAATCTAGACATCAGAAAATGAAGATTGTTTAGATATTAATAAATACAGCAAAAACAGACTCACTTCATCAGTTTGCTATCCTTTATCTCAGGTCATACTGCTACCCAAAATTATGAAATGAATAGACAAAAGTAAAATAGAAAGTAAAGGTGGGAGGAACAGATATTAGGAACATTACATATTGGATATATTACTGTTTCTTTTAATTTTCTTATCAATTCATTTCAAAGATCCGGATAATTTGTTTAAAAAAAACCCTAAAATTCATTCCAAATGCTGCTGCATAAATTCAAAACAAAATGGAATATTACCAGTGCTATACAGCTGCTTTTAAAGAGCAAATAAGAACGATCTGGAACAAATTAACTAATAAAGATTAAGAAATATCAAATTTATTTTACTTAACTATGGGACACCTCCAAAATCCAAGAAAACGTAAACCAGATCTAAAATACCTTTCTTACAATGAGACAACTTTTCATTTTTTAAAAGTCTATTTTCAAACTATTTATTCTCTCCTACTAGAGCATTATGGTCTTCTTAAAGAAAAATATTAGTCATGTGACTAACATAAACTAAACTTCAGAATAGTTGAAATATTTCTAAGTTAAATTTATAATCATTCTTGGTTACTTATTAGCTCTGACATATGTATAAGAACATGATTTATAATACAATAGTAAATATTTTCCTAAGTTTTATGTGTGCCACTGGAAGCTTTCTAATACACAACTTTAAGTGCAAAATTAGAGGGAAAAAAATCTTACCGGCACTAAAAGAAGAACAGATCATTTGAACTCCAGGCCGAGGGCGCTCTGTAAATTTTGCAGGTCTTGGACTACGATATAAAAAATAAACAATTAAAAATATCCTAAGGAGACCAGTAACACCATAAATAAGCTATTTCAAAAAATAATCACAGAAGGACAAAATTAAATACGAAGCAACATATGGTACCCTTCCTAAAAACAACTTAGAAATCATTATGTGTCATAAATCAACAGATAGACTGTAGAAATTCTAGATACAGATTTCACAGGAGCTCCTGACTATACGACAATCCACACATGGAATAATCCCAAAGTCACTGTTACTCTAGACATGTAGTTATTAGTTAACACTCACTTCTAATCAAATTTAACAAGATCTCAGTTTTTATACAGAACACAGCAATAGTAACATAGAAATATATAAGGAATAGCTATTTGTAAATATGAACATACTAGCTAAATGGGCGCTGCCTCTGTGGCTTATGTATACCATCAATAACTGAACTTTTTCAGTATTAGATATTGTTAATTAAGCTTCTCCCTTCTGCTTACTTTCTAATGTGACAAAATATGTCCTCTAAGACTCCAAAAGGAAGAGTGTTACACTTATTCTAATGAAAATCTGAAGGCTAATCTGACTCTTATGTCAACTATAATGCTCCTTCAAAATAGTGATCTATAGAAAACAAGTTACACTCAATTATATTTACATTAATTGTATAACTGTATTACAGATTATATGTTTTATATTACTACTAGTGACATTAAATGTTTAATGTTATAATCAACCATATTAGAGAAAAAGTATAAATTTTAGTCATACCAGCTCCAATACATTTAATGTGTATGTAATGCTCCAATACACTGAATATGTTTGGAAGCCCTGCTTACTATACATTTTGACCTATTTTTTTTCACACTATTAGAGGAAATGCAAAAATATTTAGAGCCTTAAGCCTGAGTGTACTATATAACTTTCAGAGTCCATAGCAATCAAACGTAGAGTGGTTTCAGTTTTGTGATCATTTAGTGAAAAACTGTATAGATCAAATATATCTGATCAATTATATATTCTGAGCAATGAGAATTGTCTTTCTTACTAATACAGAACATAAAAAATAATTGTTATAAATTTTAAAAATTAATAAATCTGCAATTTTAAATTGGTATTTATAATAAAGTGTAATATTAACAAGCTCTCATCCAGCTAAGCAAAATAGATATTTATTAAAACATTCCTAAAACCTAAACATTTATTCAGAGCAAAATTAACTGTAATTTAGGTAAATTAATCTGAATTATGAAGGCAACTAAATGCACTACTTTCATTAATATCATCTGGATTCTAGCTGCTCTAGTTTTTTGTTAATTTTTGACAACTGCTCATATAAGTGTCAGGCAAACATTTACTTGGAACTCATTACCAGAATATGTAAATGGTCCTACACATTGCCATTTCAAAACAGATTTTGTTTTATATTTTTAAAGAGAAAAAACAAATAAGCAGGTACAATAATTTATTTTTAAATGCACATTTGAAGAAATATTTTAAAGGAGGGCCTTGAACTCAGACACAGCTCAGTTTCCAGCTCTGCCGCCTTAGGCAAGTTAACATTTCTACACCTGTCTCTTCATCTGTAAAATGGGGGTTAACAATAGAACCTATCTCAGAGTTGCTAGGAGAATTAAACAAGTTTAATCCATGTAAAGTGTTTACTACAGTGCCCAAAATGTTCAATAAATATTAGTATTTTAATTAGGTTCAACAAGTTCTAGACAGTCCATCAGTGAATAACTGCTATTTAGTTTGGTACATGGTAAGACGGGCTCCTGATGGTATACTTCCTAGTAGTATTCAAATCCTGGCTCCACCATGACCTCCTAATTATGTAACCTGCTGTGCCCCAGGTTTTGCCCCAGGGATAATAATTATTATACCTTTCTCATAGGGTTGTTATAAGGATTAATGAGATAAATGTAAAGTGCTTAGTACTAGCTTGGCAGACTAAGTGCTTAATAAAAATTTGTAATCATCATTATCTGCATATTTTACGATTCCTATTCTTCTTATACCTAGTATAAATATGCTTAGACAGGTTCCTCCTACCCAGAAATCTCTTGAGCTAGCTTCTGTTTCACCCAGCTATTCAGATTACTAAGCAGCATCTTTACTGGTGGGCACTGGTACCATATATATAAACCCTATGTAAATCAAGAGATTTGATTTCCCGAAGTTGATTCTTTCAATTAATGTAGATAGTTGGGTTTCTGAAGTCATTTCCCAAGATTATACAAAAGCATTACAGCTCAATACAATTTTTGCCTTTGATTATCAATTAAAGCTTATGTGACATAATTACAGTAACAATCTATGCCGTGCCAATCTTTTGGGCAGTTATCAACTATTTGTAAAATGGATTACTCTTATTTTTATGTCTGAACTCTAAACTTAGAAATTTTAAGGAACAATTATAATAGCAAATAGAAAAGAATACTACTTGTAAATAACCAGAAAAAACTTTAATGTCCCAAAGTAAGAAAATCACTAAGCAAAGCATGTAACAACTCAGTAGAATATAATGCAAGCTATTAAAATTAATATAAATGACTATGATAAAATGTTAAGAAAAAATCAACAGAAAATTATACACATCTCCCTAATTATATCTACATTCATGGGGAAAGAAATATCATCTTAGGATAGTTGGTTACATGTGATTCTACATAAAGGTTCTGCGAAAAATCATTTATATGGAAAAACTCACTTCTCAAGCATCCAGAAACATGAAATATTACGGTACCTAGCAATGTAATCCTTAAGAAGCACAAACAAGGTGAGAGTTTAATTTTGTAAAATACTTTTTATTCCTATCCTGATTTGAAGATTGCTAATCACTTTTTCTTCTCTGAGAAATTAAGACAGGAAAGGATAAAGTTATCCCGATCAGGTTCACAGGAGGTAAAAATATGCAAAGGAAAGCAATTAACTAACAATTAACTATTGCTATTGTCTATACACATCAGTAAAATATTTCAACTTTTATTTAAATATCTACAGAAAGCCTTTAAATATTAAGAATGCAACTGAAGTAAAATCAACTTACTTTGCCAAAGGATGTTTTTGATCACAATCTTTTTTAAAAATATTATTTTCAAATGAAAGATAGTTTCATTACATTACTCAAGCCATGACCCCTTAATGCCCTGCCATAAGAACCACTCTACAGGAATGTTCATACACAGAAGTTTAAGAACCATGCCTCCCATTAGAAACAATTATTTAAACATTACTATTTTAAAATAACAAAGGCATACATAAATTATTTTATTAAATAACTCAACTTGGGTTGATAATTTATAAACACAAGTCAGAGACAATTATTGAGATATATGTTATGATCTGAATGACTTTCTACCCTTAGAGTGGTGGAAATAGCCATTTCAACACTGCGATCACTGGGTACACTACTTCTCTATCCAAAGACTGCCTATGGGGCAAATACAGTACTTCCTCTCCCCACTACATCCACTCAAGAGACAAAATGTAGAAAGCACAGGACCAAAAAGGCAGGGAAGTGCTCTAGTCCTGGCCTCGTCAATTTTTTAAAAAATTATTTTAACTATGGGAAAGTCATTTAGCTTTTCTTTACCTCAGTGTCCTTAATCAAAAGATAATACTCTCCAGCCAACTTGTTTTGATTAACCAAGATACCAATATAGGTGAAAGCACAATTGCAAAATGCTATTATGAGAAGGTGAGGGGATGACACATCTATGTACCTTGGTGTAGTTTAGTGAAACTTTAATGATTCTGTTTTCCTAAGTTTCCCTGGATCTACAAGAATATCTAAAGTATATAAATTGAATAATGTAAAAGATTAAAATTATTCTAAATAATAGTGTTAGGATCTCTTACGATTATGTTCTCGGCACCAAAAGGAGCTAGTGAGACAAAACTATGCAGCAGACAGAAATGAGTGGTAATAAATCAGGTATATTCTGAAGGAAAGAGATAGGACTAAGACAAAGATAAGAGAAAAAAGAAACACATGTTAACATCAGAAAACTTTTCTTTCAAGCATAAAAAAGGAGGAGGCCTAAAAATAAAAGAGGTCAGTAAAGAGCCAAAAAAGAATTTCTATTGTTTACTCAAGGAGAAATAGTAAATTTATTCCTATTGTTGACTACTTTATACTTTTGCCATGTCAATCATTAAACACATTTATTCTATGAAATAAAATAGCAACTGACTTTATTTTAAGGGTTCCAGCATCCCAGAGCCAAAAACAAATAGTGCCATCTGCCCCAGTAGAAGACAGATATCTCTTTGAGCCACTGCACAATGGTGAGAACTGAAAAACAATCACAGGGGGAAAAAAATCTTTACAGAAAGAATGACACAGTCCAAATAATAAAATCCACTTTTTGCTATACTAATAGCAACTAACAGTTAGAAAACACCCAGAATTGGATCAAGGTCATTACTACAATGTATTTAAAGTCTACATATTTATAAAGAAAGCAGAAATATGTCTTTGTTTTAATTGACCTTATATACTAGATTATAAAAAATGACTTCTTAAAATTTAAATTATAACCAAAAGTGACTTTATAAAATTTACTTTAAATTATAACCAAAAAGAATTTTATAGGGATTAAAACAATTACCTGTAATGATGTAATAGACGCACTGTGGCCCTGAAGAACAGCCAAAGGTGCACAAGTTCGAAGACACCAGACTCGGATCATTTTATCACAACTTCCAGCTGCTATCATGGTATTCTCATAGTTTACAGCCATGTCTGATATTTCAGCAGCATGTCCTCTTAAAGTAGCTAATAATCTCCCATCGTCTGTTGCCCAGATTTTTACAAGGCAGTCATCAGAACCCTTAAAATAAGAATGGATACTAGAATTAACCCTATAAACTGTAATTCAAGTTCTTAACACTGATAAATCATATCTCTTATGTCCACTTCCCAACAATAGTTTTAAGTACTAAAAAGTGTTAAATACATGTGCTAGAACTTTGTTCTATACAAAACTCTTTATTAAATTAAATCATTTATTTATAAAGAATGCCTGTGTGCCCATCCAACAAACAAGACAAGCAGGAAGCTGGTGATAATTAACATTTACCTCTGGTCCCCACCTACCATTCAAAGTAACCTCTGTCTGCAATCTTGTGAAAGAATTTGTTCTTCTGAAGTAATAAAACAAAACTTTAATTGCAAAGCAAATGTAATATACATTGGTGACTAACACTATGTTATTTTGTTATATAAAACTAAAAGTAAGCTAATTTGTGACTTTGTCCCAGGAAGCTAAAAACATAATATGTTAAGAGTTTCCTATCACTGATCTTCAGCTAAAAACATCACCTAAAACCAATTAGAAAAAATAATTAATCTTATCTGTATGAAGTCAATACAAATACATGAATTACTTGTTTACTCTGCTGCAGTAGCATAAGTTCAGAAAGAAATTGTAAAGGATACAGAGTCTCCTATGAATACTTATATTAAGAAATAAACATTCCCATTTTATATAGTTGACATAGAGATTAGAATTTCCAAACCTTATTATAAAATTTTTTAATATACGTAAAAGTAAAAAGAATGTTATTAACATATATCATCTCCCAAGTTCAAAACTTACCAATATTTTTGTCACATTTTCTAGTTTTTAACATAAAATCAAAATAGGAAACAAATACTTGCAAAATTACTCAATGTTTTGCAGGACATAGTTTTACTAAGATTTCATATTAGAATTCTTTATGACCTTCCAATCTAATTCTTAAAAAAAAACACCTTTATATCTGACATTACGAAGTACTCAGAGGACCTACAAAGGCAAATATGGACAAGTTTTTTGCTTCATACTGACAATAAAGGTAACACACAAATGATCACAATATTAACAGAATGTTAAATGCTATTATCTTAAACCAGACTCTGCCAACACTACCTAAAATGTTCCCCAATTAACTATAAAACCAGTTCTTCAGATTGAGCTTTGAAGCAAATTAGATCGGTTACCAAGCACTGACTAACAAAACTTAACTGTGGTAAATTATCCACATTAAAATCCAGTATTCTCATCACATACACTTAATCTCAGCTTCTTCATCTATAAAATAAGGTTAAATTGGATGATATCTAAGGTTCACTATACCTCTAAAATTCAGTGATTCGAGCATTCATTTATCCATTTGCCTTGCAATTAAAGGACACACCAACCAGTTAGATACACAGTGGCGATGAGATACAAAGACACAGTATTCCTGTCCTTGGGAAGCAAGACAGAAGACTGTAACATGTCCTAAGTGTTATACTGTTAATAAGCTGAGATTCAAACAAAGGAGCAGTCTGTTTTTCCTGAGAGATGGAGAAGTAGAGTCTGAAAAGAACCCAGAGCAGTGATGCTTGCACAGTCTTATGCAAGAAGTGGTAAAATGTAGTAGCTTAAAGCACAGACTCTAGGGTCAAATGCCTGAATTCATGACCTGGCAAGTCACCCACTTTCTAGCTGTATGACCTTGGACATGTTACATATACTTCCTGTGACTCAGTTTTCTCATCTTATGGATTGGTGCAAAGACTAAATGAGTAAATGAGGATGAACTCAGTGCCTGATGCATGGTAAAATCTATATGCTACCTATTAGGTCATTAACTATGATGTGTTGGATTTCTTTAAGTACTAAGTTTGACAGCTGATATCACTGACATTTTCACTTTGACCCTTCTTACATTATTTTTATTGTGAAGGTACATCCTCCTTAGTCTTTCAAATGCATGCTTTTTGGCTTGTGATTATCTTTAAAATTTTTTTAGAGCAATTTTTGTGAAACCATGGGTAAGTCAAAAATTTGTGTTATTTTTGAGTGTAAGTTCCCACCGTGGAACCAATGCTGCACAGACAGCTTGAAATATCAGCAAAGTGTTTATGTGGCTAATGAGTGTACAGTATGTGGATGGTTCCAGAAGTTCCATTCTGGTGATTTTAATTTTGAAAATGAGCCACGTGGGCGACCTGAGACCAAGGTTTGATTATGAGGAGCTGAAAGCCATAGTGGAAGCGAATCCATCTCAACCTACACATGAATTGGCAGCAAGGTTTGATGTTACTATTCCAATAATATTGGACCATTTGAAACAAATAGGCAAGGTAAAGCACCTGGATAGATGGGTATGGCATGAATTAAATGAGCATCAGAAGCTTGCCTTTCTTTGCTGTCATGACATAAAGGCAAAACATTTCTACACTGTATTGTTATGTGTGATGAAAAACGGATTCTTTTTGACAATCACAAGTATTAGGCACAATGGTTGGATAAAGATGAAGTGCTGAAACACAGTCCAAAACCAAATATTTCATCAAAAAAAGCTAATGGTGCCTATTTGGTGGTCTAGCACTGATATTATCCTCTACAGCTTCATGAGACTTGGTCAATCCATTATAGTGGATGTCTACTGCACCCAATTGGATGAAATGATGAGGATGCTTGCGATTAAGCAGCCGAGATTGGTCAACAGAGACAGGCCAATCCTCTTGCAAGACCACATGTTGCAAAAAACAACGCTGTTCAAACTACAGAGAGGCTGGACTTGGAATCGTTCTGTCATCCACCATATTCACCAGACCCTGCACCAACTGACCAACACTTCTTCCAGGCTTTGGACCACTTCTCGCAAGGAAACTTATTCAATTCTCAACAAGCTGTGGAAAATGCCTTTCGTGATTTCATCGCCACTCGCTGCTGGCATAAACAAGCTACCATTAAAGATGGCAAAACTATGTTAATAGTTTAGGCTCATACTTTGATTAATTGTACTGCTTCTTGTTTGAGATGTAATAAACTAAACTTTCAATTCAAAATCAGACATTTCCAGTTAATGACCTAATACTATCGCCGCTTTTCTTGGTAGTAGTATTCTCATTATTTTAATCACAAACTTATTTTTTTAAAACAAACATTCAAAATATCATATATAGAGAAAAGTATATTTAAAGGCATGAAAAAGTAGAACAATGTGAGACATTCAAGAAACTGTAAGTAATCTGCAAAGTTATTTAGAGTGTGAGGTAAAGGTATGAAAATGAATAGGAAAAAATTGTGAAGAATCTTTTACAGTATACTAAGGAATATGGTATGTAATGAGGAAGACTGAAGCATATCAAGCAGGTAAGAATCAAGATCAGATTTGTGTTTTCCAAATATCATCCTGGCATCAGTGTGACTTAGGCTATAAAGTAGAAGACTACTTGCAAGTTGTTAAAATAGTGCAGGCAAGAGAGAATGAGTGGCAAAACTGAGATTATTACATCATAAGAGAAAGATCAAAAAAGACGGTTACAATAGCTGTTTCTGGAATAAAAGGGATAAGGAGTATATCATTGATTATCTGTAGGAAGCAGAGAAAAAGCTGTAGCAGACTATGATTTCCAGAAAGCTGGTCTACAATACCACCTGGCACATAGGAAGTACACTGGGGATTTGTTGAATAAGAAATGGCTTTACAGCATTCATTTTGACTAAAGTTCTCTAAATTCCACAAAGTGAATCAATTTATTCACTACATTTGCTTATCTTACTTCCAAAAATTAAGGCAATATTTGGTTTTGATCTGCATTCAAGTACTAAAATAGAATTTTAAGCATGGTATGTAGGTAGACTATATGACAGAAGTAACATCATGACATCTTATTATGCTTCATAATACTGATATAATTTTTTTCTTATGAATCTGAATAAGAGTTTGCTTTGCATTCTACTATAGAATGCATTTCATGTATTTTTCATGATGACAAACAAAAAGCAACACAGCCTTTGACCAAAATCTCAGCTTTAATGAAAGGAACAGTAGCAATCTATGATCAAAAGTCAGCCTCCAGTGACTTTTTATCAATTAAAATCTAAGGCCAGGTGTGATGGCTCACGCCAGTAATCCCAGCACTTCGGGTAGCTGAGGTGGGAGGATCACTGGAGGCCAGGAGTTCAAGACCAGCCTGGGCAACATAGCAAGACCTTGTCTCTAAAAAAATTTAAAAATTAGCTGGGCATGGTGGCGTACACTTGCAGTCCTAGCTACTACTCGGGAGGCTGAGGCAGGAAGATAACTTGAGCCCAGGAGTTCAGGATTACAGTAAGCTATGACTGTGTCACTGTACTCCAGCCTGGGCAATAAAGCGACACCCAAACTCTTCTAAAAAATTTTAAAAAACCCCAAATACAAAAACAAACAAAAAAACACACACACAAAAAAACCTAACAAGAAGTCCTACTATATTCCTACTGGGTATATTATTTAGTAATCTTACCAATTTATTATTACTTTATAATTTTGCTCTATTTAGACAAGTGCTAAAAACAAAAAACACTGCATATTCTCCCTCAAGTGTGTATAATCCCAATTAATCTTTCTTTTCTTCCATCAAATTGCAGGAGAGAAATTTTGGACTGCCTTTTTAGGGAAATCTGACTCCATTATCCTCTTCCATGAGCTATAGAAGTTCACTGCCCCTACCCTCATCTTCACCCCTCAGACCACTAGGAAAATTTCAAACAGAACTCTTAGCATCCTTAAGCAATTGCTATAATCATGCATCGTTACTTGTCATCATTAATGTATCTTTATGGTAATTTGAAACTAAAGATAATATGAGCACAAAGTCAACTGAGTTCTTTTAAAACGACTATAAGAAATACAGATATGTAAAAAATAATTGAAAGGACTGCAGAAGAAAAATTAAAGTTATTGGGAAAGTCCTTTTTAAAAGCACTATAAATGTGTTTTAAATGAACAAGGAAGCATGAATTAAAAACTGTTAAAAATTTTTTTTAAAAAGACCAAAATGTCAAATTAAAATGTGAACTTTCCACAA